GCTGAAAAAAAGACTAAGTCCCATCGCCGAATGGGACTTAGTCTCTGCAGCTGAAATAATTTCCCATTTACTGAACCAAGTGGGAATAGCAAGGCAGGCACAAAGGGTTTGCACCAGGTCTGGGGACACAGGGGACACCGTCTTAAAGGGGCCGTGTCCCCAACAAGTCTGGGGACACGGCCTTAAAGGGGCAGTGTCCCAATCTTCCTGATGTCCCAAAAAAGGTGTTTAAAGGGCCAGCACCAGTCACATAAAGAGTCCATAAGCCCCAATATGCCCACCGACAGTCTTAAAGGGCCATACACACCAAATAAAAGTGCATACATTTTCACAATCTCCCAGGGGCCATAGTCATGCGGGAGGAGGCTGGCAAAGAGGCTTCTCCACAACCCAGGGAAACAGGGCAATTTGCCATTTAAAGGGCCCGTTACAAATAGTAGTTTGTAACAAGGTGTCAATCCATATCTGCCAAGTGACCCGATGTAGGGGGAACAGTCCCTATTCTGCCTCTGTGTAGTGTGTATCAGGGATCCTTAGGACAGGTGTCAATCCATATTGCCAAGTGACCCTATGTAGGGACCAGTCTCTATTCTGCTCTGTGTCCGTGTGCATCAGGGGCTCTGAGGACAGGTGTCAATCCATATGTCAAGGTGTCAACATGTCATATGTCAGGTGTCAATCCATATTGATTGTGATTTAGGAATGTTAGGTGATTTCTGCCCTTTATGGATTAAACCAGACTCTGTATCAACTGTGTAATTTTCCATGGGAGTTTTGCCATGGATCCCCCTCCGCATGCCACAGTCCAGGTGTTAGTCCCCTTGAAACAACTTTTCCATCCCTATTGTGGCCAGAAAGAGTCCCTGTGTGTTTTAAATTCGCCTCCCCATTGAAGTCAATGGCGTTTCGGGCGGTTCGCCGGTTCGCGAACATTTGCGGAAGTTCGCGTTCGCCGTTCGCGAACCGAAAATTTCGGGTTCGCGACATCACTAGTTGTAATACATACAAATGCTTCTTTGCAAAGTTTATGTACGTTCATATACTTAAGACTCTGCATAGGCGACTGTTCGCTTTAATGAAAATCTGTCTGATGTGAGAACTCAAGACACGCTACCAATAAACATATTTAAAACAAACTGTCGAACGGGACTTAGTCTCTGCAGCTGCAAATTCAGTGTAGGATAAGGTACAGGTCAGCGGTGTTCTTAAAAATGTGTAGCCGATTTCAGTTCCATGAACTGACATACCGCTGACCTCGTTCGAATGAACAAAGATGGCTGCCGCCACGTGTTTGTTGCCACGAACTGCGGCCATCCCGCGGTCGGCAATTTACCTACAGCAGGCTCCCAGCCTGGGAGGTAAATTGATGGCACACTTCCACTTCTGGGTGGTCCGCCTGTGTGGTACTTGGTTCAGTAAGCCCCATTTACTGAACCAAGTGGGAGAAAGCCAGGAACAAGTTATTTTACAGGTCTGGGGACATAGTCTTAAAGGGGCATTAGTCACCAAAGTCACAATATGTCCCAAGATGGTTCTTAAAGGGCCATACACACCCAATAAAAGTCCATAAGTTTTCAGGGGCACAATCTCCCAGGGGCCATAGTCATGAGGAAGGAGGCCGGCAAATAGGCTTCTCCACAACCCAGGGCAGCAGGGCAATTTGTCATTTAAAGGGCCAGTTACAAATGGCAGTTTGTAACACCCCCAGCATGGGGTCTACATAGAAAACAGTACAAACCCCTCCCAGGCGTCTCTCATGTCTGGGAGATAATTGAGTCACTAGAGGGCTAACTCAATTATCTCTCAGCTACAGGAAATCATACCATTTCACACAAATACCCCCAAAACATATAAAAAAAATATACAGGAACCCCACAAATCTTATTTGCCTGAAAATGCCCGGATCTGCGTGCTCAAGTTGTCCAAATAGTGCTCAGATTCATTTGGTAGAACAGAATCACCATTCGGTAAAGTTTTGACCTTTCGGGGGTTCCCATGCGAACACCGACAAACGCTCCCCTAGGCTTTTAGGTAGCAAATGCTCCCCCCAGTTCCTATCTCCTGAACGTCGTTCGTCTAGCTGGTCGGGAAGTTGAATGGACAGCGGTACAATCTTTGCCGGGGTTTGCGAGATCATGTATCCGAAATGAGTTCCACACGCTCGACAACCAAGTACCTCTGTGTTCAGGAGACAAAATGGCCCCCATGCACTAGATCACGTGCATTCGGTTATATAAATGGCGGCCACCCAGGTTAAGCACTCAAGTTAATTGCGGTTAACAGCCAGGGGTGGTCAGTGTTCTAAGCTAATAAAAAGGAGGACCACACATGTTCCGTTTGGTCCAGGAACAGGGGGATAAGCATGAGTTCAGGAAATTTGGAGATAGGTCTGGGCAACCCCAGGGAAATTTATAAGGTCCGCCACACAGGGTGATTATTAATAGGGGTGTGTTAGGCTGAAAGCACCTCAGGATAGCTGAACCCGTGGACTTTTGCACCAACAAAGAAGATGTTTCTTCTGAAAACACCTCAGGATAGCTGAACCCAAAGAAGATGTTTCTTCTGTCCGTTATCTCTCCAGCTTCTGGGATCCCACCACACAGATGTAGTATCAATAAGCATTTGAAAATGTATTACATGGTACATTATAGATATAGGGCACAGTTGTCTAATAGTGTATATATTAACAGCATTATCAACCAATAGCAATTAGTACATGTACTTAAAATCAGAAATAACTGCGATATTTCTGTAGACTAAGTGAAATAGAGAAGTTGGCAGTTTAAAGCAGGAAACATAGGGCTGTGGTTAAACTGTAAGTTACTACAGGGCCAAATTACAAAATCTCATTGACCAAAAACGCTAAAACAGTCCTACCTCCTAAGCGTCATAAGATGCAGCTATGAGAAAACACATACCCTATGCTAATCTCACACTTTCATCTTTCAAGTAAACCCATACCCCCGACCAGCAGTGTCCAGTAAAGCAGGAAGTCTATGGATGGGGTAAAAGGGTGGGCCACTAACACAAATCACATAACCAGAACTGCTGAAAGGGGCGAACATACACAAAAAGGGGGCATGTCTGTGTCCCCATGTCTCCCAGTCCCTTAGTGTCACTAGGACACTAGGGGACATTGAGAGACATTGGGACACTGGGAGACATGGGAACACTGAGACTCTTGGGGACACTGGGAGACATGGAGAAATGGGGACACTGAGTGACTTTGAGACACGAGGGGACACTGGGAGACATGGGGCACTGAGACACTGTGATACATAGTGGACACTGGGGACTTGATAAAGACCTGCGTACATGTCAAAATGTTGCGGTGTCCAATAAACCTGCTTAAATCTATCACAGTGAGTGCCTGATATTTTTTTCTTTTATACTAGGGGACACTGAGACACTAGGAGACATAGAGACACTGGAAGACAATGGGACACTGAGACACTGGGAGACTAGGGGACTTTGGGAGACTAGGAAACACTGAGACATTAGGGACACTGGCACAGTATGGACATTGAGAGACACCAGGGACACTGGGAGACAGTGCCCCATGTCTCCTAGGTCTCAAAGTCGCCCAGTGTCCCAATGTCTCTCAGTGTCCCTTAGTGTCTCAGTGCCCCCATGTCTCCCAGTGTCCCTTAGAGTCTGTGTCCCCATGGCTCCCAGTGTCCCTAGGACACTAGGGGACACTTAGAGACATTGGTACACTGTGAGACATGGGAACACTGAGACACTGGGAGAGACATGGGGGCACTGAGATACATAGGGACACAGAGACTAGGGGACTCTAGGAGACTAGGGACACAGACACTAGTATAACGGCTGTAGATACTAATATCCATTTTGCTTAATATCCTAGCTGTTCATATAAAATGTTAATGTGAACCAAGAATAAATTTGGAATAGTACCTTCGTTTCTGGGAAGAATTTATCTAATATCAGTTACGAGAATGACCATACTGATTTTGAAATGTTCTTGTTAATTGTCCAAGATTGTGGTATTTGTAAATATCTTAGTTTTGATCAAATATGCATGCGTTATATAACGTAGTATCATAATAAGAAACAGCTGCTCATAACTTGTGAAAAACAATCTATGTCATTGTCACGCCTATATGCTAATTTCCCCCCCTCCCATCCTGCTATGAAAACGGGGTATTAATATAACTGACGTATGAATAAAATTTTAATTGGTTATTGAACACGTCTCTGCTATTCATTTCCAATTTCCAGAGCTCTGAATGAGTTGGCAAATATCCATCATCCACAAAGGGCCCAGGCTGATTTTATCCCCAACAACGGCCACCCAGGTTGTTGGAGGGGTGTATGCCATTGGAGACATCCTTTTCCTGGCAAGAGGCTGTGCTGCAGAGTTCCCGATATCCCATCAGCTGGATCAGTGTAGAGAAAGAGGTAGAGCTTTTACAAGAGCTAGTGATTTAGCTGGATGCAGGTTCCCTCCAATAACGAGACGAGGCTACGTATTCAGGGTTAAGCAGAACTGTTTTAATGACCACACAAGCATTTCTTTTATACACATTTTCCTACAAGGTTACCACCCACGTGGACCTTGTTGGCACCGAAGACACAAACTTAACAACCAATCATTTACAGTTACACAGTTGAACACTCCCATTCATTACTGTACATTCCTCCCCACTGCTTGGGAGAAAATTGAGTTAATTGCTGTATCAGCTCAATTATCTCAGAGCGGAAAAAATATACTTTTTACCCACTTTTTATAACACAAAAACTACACATTTAATTTAAATAAAAGTTACATTTTCTGAACAAGCATAATTAGGAGACAAACACACGCAAAAATCATACGAACCCGTTTAGGGGTTTGGGAGATAGCTGAGCATCCCTTCCCTGCCCGGCCGCCCACGAGGCTCCTGGCCAAAATAGTTCCATCTGTTTAGATCATGGGTCATCAACCTGGTTCCTACCGCCCACTAGTGGGCGTTTCAGGATTCCAGGTGGGCGGTAGGGATTTCCTGATTTTGAGAGATTGGGTGGGTGGGCGGGTGCGAGTCGGCGGTACCCCTGCGACCTGCAAACCGCTGGGGCCGCCGTCCAAGAGGTCCATCGGGTGGCCCATGCTGTCAAGGCCACCCGATGGATGTGGATTGAGAGGGGGCACGGTCAGCGCTGGGCACTTTAACAGCGCAACCAGGCCCCCTGTTATTACTTCACACGCTGGGAGGAAGTGACTGCTCGTCACTCCTCCCAGCTAACACACAGACCGCGCGGGAGGAAGACCAGGGAGTCAGAGTAGGAACTCTGACTCCCATGCACCTGAGCCACCACTGGACCCCAGGGAAAGTTACCCTCCTGCACCTAAAAGGTAGGAAACAGGAGGGTGACTAAAATATTTTGTGTGTGTTTGTGTGTATGTATGTTTCTTTGTATGTATGTCTTGTGTGTGTGTCTTTGTATGTCTTGTGTGTGTGTGTCTGTCTGTATGTCATGTGTGTGTCTATGTATGTATGTCTTGTGTGTGTGTGTGTGTGTCTATATGTATATATGTGTGTATGTATGTGTGTCTTGTCTTTGTATGTATGTGTGTATGTGTCTATGTATGTCTTATGTGTGTGTCTTTGTATGTGTACCTGTCTGTATGTGTCTTGTGTGTGTGTGTGTCTGTATTTATGTGTGCGTGTGTCTGTATGTATGTGTGCCTGTCTGTATGTGTCTTGTGTGTGCGTGTGTATGTCTGTATGTGTGCCTGTCTGTTTTTCTGTAGGTGTATGTATGTATGTATGTATGTGTCTTTTTATGTGTGTGTGTGTGTGTGTGTATGTATGTGTGCCTGTCTGTTATAGTGGGCTATAGTAAGTGGGCTACCCAGCTAAGCCTTCCTACTGGGCATTGTTATAAGGAAGGTTTAAAAATAGAAAAAAGGGATAAAAAAGGTGGGGAGGGGAATTGAGGAGGGAGAGGAGGGGAGCTGACGCACAGATGAGAAATCATATTATGTGCAAACAGAGAAGTCGTCTGAATATCACCAAAAGAGGAGACCTTTGTTTGTTCCTTATGAAAATCGAACCAGATATCAAATATTTAGTCTTTCAGCATCAGCCTCAGGGATCCAATTAATCACTAGTAAAGGTAATTTCAATTTACTTTATTGTTTTCCAATTAACCTTTATAAAGTTAAAAACATTATAAACATGCATTAAGTAGAAATAAAAAGAAATGTACGTACATTTTTTTTTTTAAAACACTCTCCTTTCTAAAAGATATTCTGCACTTGCGCAAAAACTGGTGGGCGGTAAGGAAATTTTTCCACGAAGAAAAAGATGCATTAGTGGGCGGTAGGTAGAAAAAGGTTGACTACCACTAGTTTAGATGGTGTGGCTGGTCTCCTTTCGTACAATAAAAATACCGAATCTAAAATAGTAAATATAAAGATCTCAGAGACGGAGGCGGAAATGGCCGTAGACAAGATGAAGGAGGGGAAATCACCAGACCCGGATGGATTTAATAATCTGTTTTACAAAATAATGTAGTATTTTAAAAGGGACCCCTGATTAATGCATTCAATGTGATAGCGGAAGGGAAAAATGTACCTAACGAATTATTGCAAGCAAATATAATAACAATAACGAAAGAAGGGAAAGACCCTGAATTGATTAGGAATTATCGACCTCATTAATACTGATATTAAAATATATCTGCCGTCACATTCTATGTTTCTATTAAATATATAAAGGGAATCAACACAGTAAAGGAGGAGACTATATTTAAAAGAAGAAAAACTACCACAACAAGAGGACATAGTCTTAAATTAGAGGGACAAAGGTTTAAAAATAATATCAGGAAGTATTACTTTACTGAGAGGGTAGTGGATGCATGGAATAGCCTTCCAGCTGAAGTGGTAGAGGTTAACACAGTAAAGGAGTTTAAGCATGCGTGGGATCGGCATAAGGCTATCCTAACTATAAGATAAGACTAGGGAGTAATGAAAGTATTTAGAAAATTGGGCAGACTAGATGGGCCGAATGGTTCTTATCTGCCGTCACATTCTATGTCTATGTTTCTATGTTTTTACTTGCAGAACGGTTAAAGCAGGTTATCCGCACACTGATCCATCTGGACCAGGTGGGCTCCGTCCCTAGAAGATCATCCATAATTAATGTCAGGAGATTGACAGATATTTTGGACGCAGTGCAATCAGAGGGCAGACCGCACCTGACCCTGTCTTTGAATGCTGAAAAGGCATTTGACAGGGTCGGGTGCGTCCTCAG